CCTTGCCTTAATGTTTGTGGCTGCATCTGTGGCAAGACATCCCTTCCTGAGAGAAGAGGCCGAGAAGGAAAAATTAGTGCAGTCAGTGTAATGTGAGCCTGCTTCGGTCCCTGGGTGGGTACCAGAGGCTTGGATCTGGACTGTTGCCACCATAGCTTTGTAGCTGCTTTCCTATGTCTCTCAGGATTACCAGCTGAGAGAATTGAAGGTTAATGTGGAATTTCAGCGAGCTCTGTATCTTCTTAGCTCAGACCAGGTCTTAATATTTGGTATGTAGATAACATGGTTAAAAACCAATATTTTTACATCTCCAGAGGCTAAAGTCCTCTACTCGTGAAGGAAAAGAAATATCAGTGGTGACATAAGTGCCGTGTAGTTTATAGACAATTACTTCATTTGAAGGATTTTCAACAGCTTCAACACAAAAGCGTTGAAAGTCAGTTTGTGCCACTGCCACCCTGTGACCCCACCGGTGGAAGCCTAAACTGTGGGTCTGTGCTAACTCACCAGCTAGTTTGGCTGGAAGGTGTTTTTTTCTTGCTATCAGCTGATGCAGAATCTACTCTGGTAACAACTGGAAAATTCCAGAGCTCGTTTCTCAGCTCTGTTCCTTGAAGGACTCGCACAAATGTTAAAAAGGCTCCAAAGCAGTGAGTCAAAGCTTATTTTTCCAAGGTGTTGGTTTGTAGTTTTGCTTTAGGCTCAGACAGAATCTTCCCTACCTCTAACCCCTTTATTTTCATCTTGCCCTTGAAAAGGAAAGGAGCTCTCGGTAAAACATGTCGTGGATCAGAGAGGGCGAGCTGACCATCATAGAGAGGTTTTGTGCCAACATCATTAAGGTAAGGATTGAACTGGGTTCCCTGTGGTAAAAGAACTGTCAGGTTCACCAGGGTTCAGAGTGGAACTGTCTCAGTGCCTGCTCTGCCCTAGAAAGGAGGTGTTGCAAGAGCGCGTATTAATGTTGGCACTGGATGTACATCCCTAAACAGCATCCGAGGACAGAAAATTAATTAAGCTTAGTCTTGCAAATGAGCAAGGCTGTAGGCAGGGCTTGCCAGTAAGGAGCTTAACACTCCAGGCTTCCATGTTTTGTGTCCTCAGTGATGAAGGCAGGGAATGGGAGGAGGCAGAGGAGCAAGATGGTCAGATTATGACTCTTAAGAAATGAAACTGGGTTTCTGCTGGGTAGAATAACTCACTAGTTCCAGGAAAATTCTGTCCTTGCTCAGCAGAGTCTTGAAAAAGGTAGTGCTGCTACCCTTCTGTCAGAAGGATCTGTGCAGACCTAGTGAGGTCAGTGGGAAGGAATACTCCTCTTCAGTGAGAGAAAGCCTCATGACTTTTTCTTGGTTGTTTTCTCTTCAGTTAATTGTGTCAGTGAAAATGCCCTTCAGCTCTGAAATAAAAAATACTTAAAATTACGGCAGCATAAACCTCTGTGCCCTGCCCCGTGGGTGCAGAGCAGTAGCTGTGGCAGTGCTGCTCTCTCTCCTGAGCGCTGCAGTTTTCCATCACGTGATAGAAGCAGGGAGGCCAAAGTTGCTTTTCAGTTTACGCAATTGCCGATACTGACGTGCTTTTTAGAGCCTAAACTGGGATTAACAGAGGTAATTAGCACCTTACTCTTTCCAGCTCCAGAGCTGAAGCTGGGAGGCACACACTGCCCTCCTACGAGTAGGCAGTGCTGCCAGGAACAGCGGGGCTGAGCTCTCCGTGATGCAAGATGCCAGCTCGGCTGTTCGCTTTCCTGATCTGTTGTGTTTCTCCTGGTTTTGTAGGCAGGTCCGATGCCCAAGCATGTCGCCTTCATCATGGATGGCAATCGCCGTTATGCCCAAAAGTGTCATGTGGAGAGGCAGGAGGGGCATTCGCAAGGCTTCGATAAGCTGGCGCAGGTGGGAAGAGTGGTTGTCGCCTTTAAGTTGTGTGTTGAAAGTCTGAGCTGTGTTCACCAGCTGACTTGTCGGCCCCTGCTCTGATATTTGAGTTCCCATTCTTCGCTGGAGCAAGGACTGCGCTTGGAGCTGACGTTCATCATCCGGGTTCCCGGCTTTCTGTTATTTTGCAGAGTCATTCTAATCAGCTTTTTTATTTTTCCCTCTGTTTTACACTCGATCGAAATATCTGCCTCGCAGATCTTGAAGCTTTTAATTCTGTGAAAATGTCTGAATTTCTCTGAAAATGTTTTGAAAGGTACAGTATTATATAATTTACAATGTTACCAACAAGAAGTGCTTTCCCTGACTGCATTAGTCCCGTATCTGCTGTGGATTCTCATCTTTAGCGTAGTGATATTTTCCTGCTTTCTTTAAAAGTAATCTGAAATTCTCCTCGAGTGGGTTTCATTGTTAGCTCTTGATATTTTTAATTTGATCCAATCTTGGCACAGTGGGAAGTGATGGGAAGGTTTTAGCAGTGGAGAAGCTGGATCTTGCTGCTCTGTCCCATCGTCTGAGTCTGCTTATCTGACTTTTGTTTCCCGTTATATTTCTTCTTCTTGCAGACATTGCGGTGGTGCTTAAATCTGGGCATTCGGGAGGTCACTGTTTATGCCTTTAGTATTGAGAACTTTAAACGCTCCAAGGAGGAGGTGGATGGACTAATGGATCTGGCAAGACAGAAATTTAGCCGCCTACTGGAAGAACAGTAAGAATCCTCTCATGTCTGTATCCCACAGGGTGGAACTAAAGCAGAACATGATTAAGAGGTGTTGCAGGGATGTTACAAGTTGCGAAAAATGGATTAAATTAAGCCCTTCCCCACCTCCAGCTAGAGATTTGTGTTGAGGGGCTCTGCCTACCTGGATGGGATGTGCAGCTCCCAAGCACGTGCAGACCCCCGCACACCAGATTTGTGAATCACATGGCTCACTGTGCAACAAACGGTTGGGGTAACAGCTTCCAGAGGAGCACGTGGTAACTCAAGACTTTTACTTACGGGCACATAACGTTCGTCCTGCCCACGCCAGGTTATCAAAGGAGGATGCTGTAGCAGGCACAGACGATCTCCTTGCTTGTCTGACGTTCACTCAACCCCCCCCTCTCCCACCCTCATTGATACATTAATCTTTCCTTGCACCAGAAGGTAGTTGTGTGGCTCTTTGGATGACCATTAGCCATCCTAATTTTTGATTAGTTATAGGTGCCCAGAGTCTATGGTTGTATTCTAAGTTTTCCATATATTTTTTCATAACTTCAGGTAGGAATGCCTGATCTGTGATCATTTTCTAGTCCTTCAGTTATGTCTGTAGCTGAGGAACTGGTGGGGGGAATGATCGCTTTCCCCTTGTGGAATGGTTTGGGATAATCAAATCTAAGACAGCTTTCAACACCTGCAAAACACTTCATCGTTTTCCTTTTTTCTAATTCTCACTTTTTCTGAAGCTATACCTGCTATGTGCCAGTTTTTGTTTGGTGGATGTTTCATGAGGCAAACACGGTGCTTGTGCGGTAGGGACTGATCTGTTCTTGTTGTTGGGTATAGGGAGAGGCTGAAGAAGCACGGTGTGTGTATCCGTGTCCTTGGGGACCTGCCACTTCTGCCCTTGGATATTCAGGAGCTGATTGCCCGAGCTGTGCTGGCAACTAGGAACTACAATAAGTGAGTAACATGCGGTTTAAAGTAGCTGATACCTCACGTCTTCCACTTCTATCTTAAAGTCGAGACTTGGCTGCGTGCTACACCTGGGTTTTTGTCTTGTAAGCACACATAACTAGGAAATAGTCTTCTCTGTCATCTGCTGGACTTTCCTTAGGTTATTCTTTCACATCTTCTCTTTTCAGGTGCTTTCTAAATGTCTGCTTTGCATACACATCCAGACACGAAATCAGCAATGCTGTCAGGGAGATGGCTTGGGGGGTGGAACAAGGACTGCTCGAACCCAGGTAACTCTTGTCTTTCTGTGTGAGGCTTCATAGATGAAGACTGTCTGTCTTACCGCCTACACTTTGCCAATAACCTCTCAGAAGCCAAGCGGCTCTTAAATAGATCTCATTAAATCAGCATGACTGGAACAAATGACTTAAAGTTACTATGCAATGTTTGGTTTTTATTATTTCAGTTACCATGGTGACAGATGCACAGCCAAGACAGAAGAGAAATTAGGTCCTGTGTCTGAAGTTAGTTTAAATGTGAAGGCAGATTTTATGCCACAACAATTGGCTGCTTGGCTGGCGGTCTTAGCTATGAGGTCCAACAACAGATGAATCATGAGTACTGAACTCTTCCTCCACCCTGGAGGCGATGGATTAGCTAGCTCTCTGCTCCAGATGGAAGTCCTCACCGTCCGGTTCCACCACTGTGTTGTGTTTCAAAGAGCATGGAGGGGATGCTCTCGGGGCTGAAAGAGCATTTGCAATAGCCCTTGGAGCAGACAGCAGTGCCCATCAGAAGCAAGGTGATGACTGCCTTTGGTGCAGCTCTACCACCCAGCTGCAATCCGCAGTCACCTATTTATAAAAAAACCCCTCAGTAATTCTAGTTTAGTGCCACCTCTGTCGGGTCAGGAAAGTGGTTTTAATAAGATGCATCTGTCTTTCTTAGTGACGTGTCTGAATCATTGCTTGATAAGTGTCTGTACACCAACAACTCCCCTGACCCAGACCTCCTGATTCGGACCTCTGGAGAGGTTCGACTGAGTGATTTCTTGCTCTGGCAGGTAAAGTCTTTGTTTTCTCCTTGAAATAATTCCATTTTTGCATCAGAGAGTATTCTGCTGACTCCAGGTGTAGCTGACCTGGGGGCTTTTAAACTCGCTCTGCCAGGCGTTAGGTAACTTCATGGAGGGACTGGTTGCTGCTGGAGCACCTCTGAGGAATCTGTTTCTTGCAGTTCTGCTTGCCTAAAATAGTTTGCAGCACGAGTTTGAAATTGTATCATCCTGAAAACAAATTAAGCGAGCTGACAGCTGTCAAGAAAATAGTGAATTGCTCATCCTTTTGCTCCTCTTCTCACATTTAGATAATTCCTCGTTTGATTGGTAAATTCAAAGCTTTGATTAATTTAACCTGGCAATAGGTCCCCTGGGATGAGGAAATCCCTGAAAAAAATTCTGGATTCCTGGGAGAGGTGTTTGACAGATATCACTGGAGGTGTAACCCTATAGCATACCTGCCAGTGTCAGAAGTGTATTTGACTTTCATAATGGAACAAGACTCTGCAGGACAGGTTTTAGAGATGGCGAAGTCAAATCAGCATGACTAGGTTGCTAAGCTAAAACACACTAAGTTCTTGATGCATATAAACTTCGCGTATTTGCAGTTGCAGTATCCAAAGCTGCTGCCATTTCTCTCTCTCCTGTGCTGGGCAATATTGACTTGTTGGTAACCCAAATTTTTCAGGAGAACATTGGAGTCGAGCTGCTTTACTTAAAGCTCACATCTTGCTTTACACGTACAGTTAGGAGCCAAAACTGAATTGCCTTTAAGCAACCACATGGAACGGTCCTGTTCCAAGTTGTTTAATTGGCAAGTTCACAGAAGTCAGCCAGCCTGGATTGTGGTTGCCTACAATGGCATCTCCTTCTCCTCCTCGTATTTTTGGGTGCACTGTACCCTAGATGCGTGACAATGCTGCCAGCTATCGTTTCGTTCACTCCTCTTGGTGACAGTCCTGGCAGAGATGCCTCGGAGACCAAGCTTGTGACCGGTGAAGCATTGCTGAGGAAGTCAGTGCTGGCCTGGTGCCCTCCTTCCGTGCCGCGGAAAAAGGAGCAGCAGAAGAGAACGCGGTGCTTGTGCTCCCGCTCTGCCAGCGCACACACCAGAGCGTTAGCGCAAATTTCCCTTCACTAGCAGTCATGTGTATCCTGACAGCCCCAGAGTAGGCGTGATTCTCTGATGTCAAAGAAAATGTCCTTATGGTTTGTTTTGGGGTTTTTTTGTTTTGTTTTTTAGAATTTCCACTAAGATTTTCTGCAGCATTATTAGTTTCAATTCCTGCAGAGTCCTTCTAAGTTAGTTTTTGTAGTAATGGTCACAGGAGCACATTTAGCTGAAACTTTGAGGCACTTGATTGCAAAAATAGGTTTTAACTTTAAAGCCTTTGTCTTTCAGCTCTAAGAGATGTTCAGTGCACCACAACTCTTAGATTCATTAAGCAGTTTAAATGCCACGAGTGGGCAGTGAGGAATATCGTTTGATGAATGGCTTGAATGTCATGTCCTCATCTCAGTTCATCTGTTACTCCCTTAACTCAGCCTTTGGTAGTCCAGTGTTGCTATTTTAGTTTTGTTGTAAGTCCGTGATGCTTAAGCTATTAAAAATACCTCTGTGAAGACTAACATAGCATTAGAAAGAATTCTGCTGGTATCTTTTTGGGAATGGATGAGTAGCATCCCAGCATTGAAAACTAATTAGAAGGACTCTACATTGTGCAATTTCAAATTCTTCTGGCTGCTATTTATTTCATTTTGAGTAGAATCTGATAACACAGCCTAGATAAAAATCTTTAGGGGGGAAACTGGCATAGTTTGACCAACAGAGCTGTATCTCGCTGACTTTTCCCTTGCTAGATGATTAACTTGTTGGTGATCTTGCTTTCTGCAGACATCCCATTCATGCCTGGTGTTTCAGTCAGTCTTGTGGCCAGAATATTCCTTTTGGAACTTGTGTGAGGCTATCCTGCAGTTCCAGATGAACTACAGCACTTTACAGGTAAGGGAGCCATAGGGAAATGGAAAGTTCAACACCACATGTCGCCTGCACAGCAACGAGCTGGAGCTCAGGTGAGGGCGTGCAAAGTGAGAACAGAGGAATTGTTCATTCAGTGTGGTTAGTTAAGATCGTGTTTCGGCAGCAGCTAACGCCAGATGTGTTGCTTCCCCTGTACTCAAGTGGCTTGTTAGAGAATCTTAGCATGTGGGCAGGCTCCTCTACTTTGGGGAATACCTCAAGTGTCCGAAGTCACCACTGTCTCTCTCTTACTCATTGCTCGTTCCACCAGCTGTAAGTGTCTGTCCCTGCTCCTCAGCTGACAGGACAGCACAAGTGATGGCTCCCGATTAGCTGCAGGGTAAAATCAGCCAGCTGAGCTCAAACCGCTTCAGTGTTCAGGACCCCGGAGGCAGTTACGGTGTGGGTAAGCAGCTGGATGGAAGGTTTGACAAGGTAGATAAAAACCCTTGATTTTGATGTATTTGACAAAAGATACCCTCCTTCCATCAACTCAAACAGCATCACGTGTGATGGCCATCTTCATTTTCCAGTTAGTCTGCTGCTCAAGGGAGTCTCCTAGCTGGTTGGTGCTCACCATCTAATCCCAGGATCACCTATAACCTGCTTTTGGTACATGATAGCGAGACAGTGGAGCTGTTGAGGGGCAAGCGTGCCCTATGGAAGTGGTCATGTCCAGTCTTTCTTGGTGAATAAACAGAATTTCACTTTGTTCAAGGGTAAAAGGCTGATGATCTTTGCATTTCAAATAAGCTGAGCTACAGCAGTGGAGGGCTATCAGTTCAGTGGGCTTTCTGGAGGTGGGAGCATTTCTACTCTCATTCCCAGCGAAACAAAAGCTAATTTACAATGCCAGAGCATAGACTACTGACTTGAGTGCAGGGAGAGTGTTGTGAAGAGTGAGTCAGGCTCTCATTAGAGTAATTATTTCTTCTTGCTTGTTTGAAAGGCCAGTGCTCCCTAACTGCATGTATCTGTCAGGTTATGTCACAGTGACCAGTTTTAGTCTTTAAAAAGGAAGGCTTAATATTCCCGCATGCAGGTGTGTTTTTTGCTGTTGGAGGCTGCAGACTAGGATATGTGCAATAAGAAGAAATCCAGATGTTCTCCCAAAATGCTTCGAATACTTGAAGGGTAGGGAAGGGTAGCTGCTGGTTTTACCTTTCTCCTGCCCATCCTGCTTTGTCTCGAGCCGGTACATTATTAGATCACAGGCATTTGGGAATGCTGAGCCCACTCATGCTTCTATGCTGAAGCTGATTAGCTCAATACCTGATCATCAGCTCAAAGAATTGCCCCATAAATCATTGTTCTGAATCCCCTAAAACCTTTCAGCTGCCATGTGAACAGGATCAAAGATTCTATGATGACACTGGCGAGGATAGCTTGTGTGCCTGCCCGTCGTTTGAAAGTCCTCTTGTAAGGTGCTTCTCTCTGATTCCAACATCTGAGGGTTTTTCCACAATCTGTCCTGACCTTTGTCTGTTTTAAGCAGGTGTTAACGCTGTGAGCAGACTTGCATCTTGGGGAGAAGTTCCAGAAGGGTATCCCTGTGGGTTTTTTTCATAACCAATCATGCAGGCTGCCTCAAAGTGGAGGGGGCAAACACAGAGCCACACATCACTTAACCTGCAGGCTGGTGGTCAAGCAGAGGCTGTTTCTTCCGTAACCTGTGCTGCCTTGCGTCTGTACCACAGATGAGCTGAAAGGCCTGGTAAAGTGCTAACGCTTTCCTGCTTTTCACTCTAGAAGGCCAGAGACTCCTACATGGAGGAAAGGAGGCGACAACAGATGGAAAGAGATCAGGCTTATGTGACAAAGAAGCTGCAGCAGGAGGGTTTCGCGTCCCACGGAGACTCTCGGCGCCGACGGACGCTGTTGCAGAAATGCACCGCCATGCGGGAAGAGAGAATCCAGGGCTTTCTACAGGCACTAGAGCACAAGAGAGCGGACTTCTTTGAAAGATTGTGTACGGTGTCTGCATGACATAGGTGCTGGGTGGTTCTTGGGAAGACAATTTTTAACAGCATTAGAGGGAACAGCTGCTGCCCAGAGGAATTCGAGATGGGGATGCAGGGCTGCTGTAGGACTTTACGTCCCTGCTGGCCCTGTCTGAGGGCGGGGACAGAGTACTGTGAACCTTTCTAGTTCTGTGAACGCTGGTGGGGAAGGTAATGCCGTCCTTCTGTCTCACCTTCCTGCCCCTGATGATGGAGAATGCACGTACCACGCCATATCTCTGCTGCTTGGTACTTTACAGGCCTGGGTGTTTTGGTGAGAAGTTGTTACCTCGAATGAGCCTCCAGTTCTGTTTGACTCCTTGTGACTTGGCCCAGGCAAACCAGTTCAGTTCTGCTAAATCTGTGGCTCTGCAGCAGTGAACCTTCTGTTGAGATTTCTGCTGCTGCCCCGTAAAGGGAGCTTTGCTTTCTGTTGGGAGAGGATCATTCCTGGTGTAGAAGTGAGCCCTGTGCCAAGTGGTGGTAGAGAGATTCCCCTCTGCCCACTCCATGGTAGCATCTTGTCTTTTTCTCACATTGCTGGTTTTGTATGTGCTCTTGGCTTTCAAAGAGCTAAAGAGAGGTGATGTCAAGCTTGCCATAAAGAAAAAAAAGATACTCCAAAGCTTCACCAGATCTTGTGATCCCTTCTGAGCACTGTATGTGGGGAAAATCCAAATGTGCTGATGTTGAAACAGATTCCCTGTGCTTCCAAAAGGCTCTGAGCAGGCCAGGAAGGAGGATTGGTTGGGAAGTCACTTCATGGCTTAAAAAGAAAAAGAAGCTAGCTGAAAGCAGGCGATGGATACTGTATGCCAAATCCAAGACCTCTCTAGAGCTATGACTTTTAACATCCTGTTTCCAGGGAATGAGGGTGGACTCAGCTCAGGAACACAGTAGCCAAAACCAACCTCTGACCCCAGCCAAAATGGTTTAGAAGGGCTGTTTAGCTGATTGTAATGGGAGTGGCCGGAGCAGCTGTGGAGTGTTGTCGGTTCTCAGTTTTCCATCGGCAGGGAGAAGGACTAGCTAATTTCCAAGAGTGTTTCCGTCTCCACATTCTCCTGATTTCCGTCCCTATGGTCGCAATAACAGAAAATGTCTTGATTTTTGTTTCTGATGCACTCACAGGTGCAGCAGTACCAGCTGTTGCTGGTTTTAAAGTGTTCCTTTTTACCTCCAAATGAAAACTAGAAAATGCAGATTTAAAAAGCTTGTGGGTGCTGCAGATGCAGCACTTTGAACGTGATTGTGAAGAGGATAACTATATTGTCAAGTCGTGAATAAAGCATATTCATAACAATCTTATTTAAAAAAATATGCTGAATGCTTACAAGTTTGTAGAGCTTTTTTATTCTAAGGTGTAATGAACTTGGCATCCAGGTCTAATATTGTATTGTTTAACCTGTGGTGGACCCCTGCTCTGATTCTTGTTAGACTAAAAATGATTTGAAGGCTGTGTTCTTTTTACAGCATAGTGTGAACAATTTGCCGATACCCCACAGCGTGGCCGAAGAAAGTTCTGTGCACGTACATCCTCTTGCGTAAGTAGCAAACAGGACCTTGGATAAAAGCATGCTGAGATGGTGGCAGCTGTTGATTTTAAACTTCTTTTTGCTGTATTTTCCTCTGTCTTCACATTTCAGGAAGCTGTCTGTGGAAATAGTTTACTGTCCCTGAGATGGAGCACCCTTCAGTTTGCTTTGCCAGGCTGAGGGGGAGACTGTTTTCTACCTGAGAATATATTTTTGCCTTAAGGAAAAAAAAAAAAAAAGGTTTTCACTTGTGCTGTGATGATATAGGTGACCTAAGCTACAATGGTGGTTTTCCACGGAGTTGCAGATGGGGTAACTGAAGGATCTGGTTTGCAGAAGGCTTG